CCAAATTCATCTTAAAAATCAAAAAGACAATGAAGTATTGCAATTTCCTAACTTTAAAAAAAAAAGTCATGCAATAGAAATATTTTTTATTCTAAAAAACGATCATGACCTGTGTTTTTTTTTTTTTTTTGTTTTGTTTTGTTTTTTTGTGTTTTTTTTTTGTTTTTTTTTTTTGTTTCAATTTTGTTTTGGTTTTTAAACTTCCTCAAAATTACAGCATTCCATTAAAGCTTTTAACTTTAACTTTTTTCCCTCCTGATTAGATTTGTTTCCATTAAGAAGTAATAAAAATCCTTTTAGTTTTAAGATAGAAATAACACATTTTATTTTATTTAAATATATACTGTGTGTAAATGTTCCTAATTTTTCATACACTTTTTTTGTGTGTGTGAGATGTTGTTAAAAGCCATACACCCGTCAGTTTCTTTATTACAGAAATAACAAAACGTTGATTTATTTTTTTAATAGTCATTTAAAATCTTTAATTTCCAAGAAAATGCCTCTTTTAGCAGGTCTACTACTGTAGTGTAAAAAAGAAATGGTAAGTTATTTGCTGTCAGTCAGTAAAGAATCTGGCTGAAGATCTTATAAAATTGGGATTTGACTGTTTTTTGTTTTTGTTTTTCTCCAAGATAACTTGTTCTCCGTTCATTTGACGATTATTATTATTAATAATAATAATAAAATATTTGATCAGAATACGACATGATTTTGTCATGATTAGCAAGCTTATCAATTATCAGGAGTTCGATCTTCACTGGCTTCTCCATGCTTACTGGCTTGCGCCACAAAATTCTTTATTTACTTACAATAACATTTTTTTTTTTTTCATACTTGGATGTTATTGATTTCTTTTTTGAAATGATACTCTTTTTCTTTTCTTCTTTTATTTATTTTTTTTTTCGTTGTTACCCTAAACTTGGCAACTGTATTTAAAGGCCGTTTTTTTGTTTTTCTTTTCTCAAAATATTTTTTAAGTTGCTTTTTTTACCTTTTCTTTAAATGCTTTAAGTACTTTTGTCATTGTTAGTCTGCTTATTGTGTTACTAACAATTGGAAATTCTGCCAACATCCCAACTATTCTGAGTGTTTGCCAAATTAATTTAACCAAAGAATTTTACGCTATGTTCAATTTCAATAGATGTTCATATGCCATACCCCCACCAGCAAATGAAGTGAATGGTTTTTGTTTTGTTTTTTTGTTTTTTTTTTGTTTTTTGTAAGGACCGTGTGTTTGTATATGAAGGAGATGCTGAAAAGTTCATGGTCTATAGTAAATTCTGGTGTATGTTAATTTTGGTTATATTTCGAGAAGTAGGCTAGGCTGGTCTTTTAACTTATTTGATTATAGCACCAATTATGGAGTAAAAAAAAAAAAATTGCTGTTAATAATCGTGTCTTCTCTTCAAAGACAGTTTTCAAAATGCTACATTTTGTTTTCTTCCCTTGAGTTCGCACGATTTCTAGGAGACCCAAAAACACAAATAAGTAGCGAAATCTCAGTATCAGCAATGACAGTATCCCTTCAACTCCATGACCAAGATTATGGGGTATGTTGAAAAGTTCTTGACCAACCCACTTTTCAATTACTTCATTGAGTGGTGGGGGTGCTTTTTGTCAGTATTTTTCAACTTCCTCTCTTAAGAAGTTTTCAAAAAGAAAAAGAAAATATGGAAATATTTGAAATAAAAAAAAATTTAAAAAAAAAACAAACACCCGTAGCAAAATTTAATAAGTGCGGAAAACAAAAACTAAAACTTTTCTTTTTATCACCAATAACCAATTATTCAATTTAAAGAAAGGAATTTTAATTTCCTCTACTTAATACTTCATTTAATTTAGGGACCTCATCATGGTAATGGTCAGCAAGTTGGACTTCACTTGTAGATAATGAGTCGTGAATTCAGTTCTCACTGGGTGCTCAATATTTATGGCTTTGTACCAAAGCTAAGCTAACATTTCTTTTAAAGGCCATCTCTTACCTATGACAATATAAAGATCAAGAATAGAAAAATTAGCTGATATGCTGACATTTCCACCATAAATTTGAATCCTTAGACTCTGTGAAAATATGACAAGTGCTGCATGTGTCTTAGTTGATTAAATCTAGGAAATTTAGAATGGTGGCAAGAAGTGAGTATTTTAAAAATATGAACCAGATAAAAAAAGATTTTATTAAAACCTATAAAGATTACTGGAAGCAGGAATAACCTAAGGAAGGCCAAGAATGCTATAATCAAATTATGAGTGAATAGTTCCTGTAATGATATTGACTGGAAGTGTTTAAAGTTGGTTTCTAAAATAAAATTTTATTTCAGTATTTCTGGTATATAATATATATATATATATATATATATATATATATATATATATATATATATATATATATATATATATTTTTATTTTAGTGATGTGTGAGTCCTTTGGTATTCAGTGCAGCAAAATGTTCATTTATAAGATAGTATGCTTGAAGAAAGTCCAGAGGTAGTAGCTTTTGAAGTCAGACCATGATAGGGGTAGTAGTAATATTAGAAATAGGTCAGTGTCACTCTGTTTTTCTCTGCCGTAAGCAGGGCAGAAATATCATGAGCACATGACCTCGTAACTACTTCTTCACACATGCATGGCTCATTTCTCTGTAGTCGCATTTGTTTGTCACTCTTGCTGCCCTTTCTGCTTCTAGCTCAGAGATGTCAGCTTGTATCCTTTTCACCATGCTCTGATACTTTGGTGCAAACATTGGTTTCGGCTAACATCAAAAATCTCTTTGTGTTAATTTTTTTTGATTGGCCAAGGGTTTTGATATTTTTCAGTTACAAATAATTAGGCTCTGATCCTGCAAACTTCCAATGTTTTTCAGCCAGGTTCAGTCTTTTCTTCTTCCTCTCCTCTTTTTATTTGAGAGTTGCTTTCTTGTTAATTGAGAGAGAAATATAGAAACAGAAGTTATGGCAGAAAGAAAGAGATAATGGTTTTAAAGGAAAGTACAAATGCCGCCTTTTTAATTTTGAATTCTTTTTTTTTTTTTTTTTTTTTTTTTTTTTTTTTTCTTTTTTTTTTTTTTCTTTTCTTTTTTTTTTTCTTTTCTTTTTTTTTTTTTTTTTTTTTTTTTTTTTTTTTTTTTTTTTTTTTTTTTCTTTTTTTTTTTTTTTTTTTTTTTTTTTCTTTTTTTTTTTTTTTTTTTGGTACTCACTACAAAGCAGGAGAAATATTTATGAGTTCATAAATTTAAAAATTTTGAAAACCTAATATTTCTTTTTACTTTTGTTTATAAATGCTTATTGCAAAATAAAATCTTTACAGTTGCCTTAAGTCCATCAAAGGACGAAACATGTCCGTAAATAAGTTTTCCTTTCGTCTTTATTCATACTTACATATATAATTTTAACTTTCCAGCATACAATGATCGACCACGACTAATGGTTTCATGTGTTTTCACACAATCAAGTTTGCAACAAAATTTTTCTTGTGATCAGGGGAAAAATAGCAGAGCAAATTTATTAAAAAAAAAAAAGTTTTTCCCAATTTCATTTGATATTCAACCTGTCTTATTAAACATGATTTCTTAATGCTATGATTTCATCTAAATATATATATATATATATATATATATATATATATATATATACACATATATAATCTCCAGGAAAGAGTCTGCCCAAATGTAGCCTACCAGGTTGGCAGTGACTGGCCATGACTGTTTCATGCGTTTGCATGCAATTGTCAGGTAGCCAGTGGCTGTAGTAGTAAGGTGAGTACCCTATATACCACTGGGTGAGTTTACTTTCACAGACAAACTAAACTTACCTGGTGAAGTGAGTAAATCATCCAGCCAAGATTTAGAATGGCCAAAAAAAAAAAAAAGAAAAAGAAAGGCTTACCAGGATGGCAAAAAAGTGCTCAATAACAAGTGAAATTAGTGTCGTGGTACAGGAGCTGTAGCCTTAAGCCCAAAATAGTGCTCGACTGGACAACCAAATTCATGTTAGAGCATATAGAATATAAGGTATTCATATTAGAGCGGTGGTATATAAGGTACTCGCCTTACTATATGGGCATGAGACCCGGGTTTGAATCTCACCATGGTTGATTTGTCAGGAAGGAGACTTCTTGATGTTATCAGACTGGAGGGGGTCGATCCCAGCATGTAACACCTTTGGAAAGTGCCTGAAAACTATACCACAGGTTGACCCAAGCCTTGTAAGTGAAATTGGGTAGTGGAACCGTTGGTGGGGGGCATTGATAGCTGTGCTAGCACAAAGTCACAAGTCATCGTGGCCAAGGGCTTGAGCGTGTTGGCCTTGTTGAAATTGTTTATCACGCTAGATAACATGCACTTTCTCAGGAACTGTAACTAAGGTCTGTTTTGAGCATCGTTGCAGTATAAAAATCACAGGTGGGCTCTGTGGGTGTTAAATAAATGCAAATGCACCTGAGCAAGCATCTTCAATAGGGATTGGCTAACCGACCTAGTGGATGGGTAATCCTCGAATACGAGTGGCCAGCTATACATACACTCACCTTACTACTTACTACTACAGCCACTGGCTGCCTGATGATTGTGTGAATGCACATGAAACTGATAGTAGTGGCCAGTCACTTCCAACCTGGTTTTTAATTAATATATAGTTAACAAGAAAATCTCATGTCATCACTAGTGAGTGTGATCATTTCATATGTGCTGTGATAATGGCTTTGTGCCAAATGAGTAAGTTGAGTAAATATATTTACAGTTAAGCTGTAATATTTTTCCCTATGCCAAGTCAATGGATAATAGAGATTAATGATCTATAATTTTTATCTGCATTTTTCAAATAAGGAATTCATTTTTATACACTGCCTTACTTGTACTCGTGTTGTAATCTTCATTGATTTAGTCCTACAATTTCAGTGGCTATGCCCTTTTATCTTCAGGTATTTTTCGTAACCTTCTGGGAATTTGAAACTGTACCATTCATTCAATCCGCGGTAAACAGTTTTTTATTCACAAAGCTATATTACATTGAAACACCTGTTCTCATGCGACCACTGAAGTTAAGCAACATCAAGCCTGGTCAGTACCTAGGTGGGTGACCGCTTGGGAATGCCAGGTGCTGTAAGCTTGGATGTGCAGGTAGTATAATGGATAATGGCTGAGAATGAGAAATAGAAGTTAAGCAAGGTCGAGCCTGGTCAGTACCTAGGTGGGTGACCGCTTGGCAATACCAGGTGCTGTAAGCTTGGATGGGTGAGTGGTGTTATAGATAATGGTTTGGAATTGAAAATTGGAGAGCTAATTCTAGGTGGGTTCATTATATTCACTGACATACTCATATTCTTTGGAACAATATGAATCCACCTCCCCCCCCCAAATTAGCTATATGTTGATTAGGACTTTTATCAGTAAATCATTATTATCCCCAAAAACTTACAATTTAATAATATTTTCTGGTTTTAAATAACCTTCAAAAGGTTGATAAGCCATAAAAAACAAACAAATCCATCAATCAAATGCACGTCTGCAATCTGTGGTACCTTGTGTTGCTTAAGTTTTTGAGTAATTAAAATGTCGGATCTTTTCTGCTAATTCACCACAGTTAATGTAAAGTTACTTATCACAAATATTAATTCACCCCAAGAAATTATAAATTTTAAATCAGTTTGTTTTATTTATTAAATTTTTGGCACAGGTTAGGAATTTTTACAATTAAAAAAAAAAAAAAAAATAAAAATCTATTTTTGGATTGTTTATTTGGGTGCATTCACAAAGGTTAACCCAATCAGAGTGCAATAAAATGGGCCTCATTCTGGGAGAATTTAGTGTGAATTTTAGTAAATATAAATTCTTTTCATTTTGGGGTGAATTAACAGAAAAGATCTAAAAAGTTTTTCACTATACTGGTTCTGTTTAAAGAAAATTTTACAATGTGATTAAGTATTCAACATTGTTCTAATTTAAAATATGAAAAATATTGATAACGTAAATGAAATTTTTAGGAAACTCCAAAAGCTTTTTGAGAATCCCATGTTAATGGTAAGCAGATAATAATTGATTTTCATCAGACAATCAAATTGTGGTTTCTCATTATAGAACAATTGTTTCTACTTATTTTTTTCAACTTGTATATAAATCTTATCAATACAATTTTTCTTAATCTGCATTAATATTATTGATTATTATCTATGATATTGATTTCAGACTCTGACACAAAAATGCATATATTGATATGATTAGACTATATTGAGAAAACTCTCCCATCTTTCTCTCTAATGATGAGCTATCATTTAAGCAAAGGTTTAATTGGGTTTTGCAATTATTGGTGACTTTGATCATTTTATTTTGTCAGGTCCACTTTTAAAATGGGTAACAGTAAAAAAAAAAAAAGGAATAATAGAAAAAAAAAGGCATGAGATGAGAAACCTATTTATTTGTTTAACTCAGTGGTTCTCAACCTTTTTTTACCCACGGACCCCTTTCCCCTTCTTTTTATCTTGGTGGACCCCTTCATAGCTATTGGACATAAGAACAATTTTCTATTCTTCACTAATATAAATTTTAAGGTTTTAATTATCAAAGAAATAGTATACGATTAAGCTTTATTTTTAAATGAAAACTAATTTAATACAAATAAAATATTCTACTATAATTATAATAATTATTATTACTATTTTTAATTAACACAACAATTGTGTTTTGCCTGTGGACCCCCGGAAATATTACATGGACCCCTAGGGTCCATGTAGACCCCGATTGAGAACCACTGGAACTGATGAGCTTAGGGTCAAGTAGCCTGGTCAAAATGCTTAGGGGGATAAATAAGACAGATAAACTCATGGCTAGTCTGGTTTAGATAGTAGTTTGTTTTTTTTTTTTTTTTTTTGTTTTTTTTAATTTCACCCAAGCAAGGCAATAATGCCACTAAGATGCAAGGGCTACTGGGAATGAATGAGAATGGAAAGATTTTAGAAGGAAACTGATCCCTAAATAGAGGATAGGGGATGAACTTCTACTCCTGTTCAGAAAACTGGAGAGTAGTGTGAACCAGACTATAGGAAAACTGGTCTACTCCATTTGAGGAGATAGAACAAAAAAAAAAATAGATAAAATTTCAGACTTAGATGTTAGAAGTATAGTTAAAGTAATCTTTAGAAAGAACTGGAAACCCAATCCTGAATGAAACAAAGGATAAACCTCTACTTCCATCCAAAAGGCTGAGGAGGAGTGTGAACTGGGCGATAGGTGAATTTATCTATTCCTATTCTTGTTAAATCCTTTATCTTTGGTAATTGGTATATTAGAAAGTTATGCGATCAGATTTCCTGATCTTTCATTGCTGAAAACCAAGAATCTTAAATTTAATCTGTGTTTGTGTGTTCATTTTTAAATTTACTTGCAAGCCCATTATTCTTTCTTGACCCCTTTGTCCACTCCTCATCTTTCCTCCTTACCCTTATAATCTTCACTTCCTACCACCTTCTCTTCCATTCATATTACACACCTCTTTCACCATTACCATTTTGACTGTAACCCTCTAGCTTGAGTGGCTTATGAGATTTATATTTATTATCTTGTAATAAAATTACCATGACACCATTTTTTTTTTTGTCTTAATCAAAACTACCCCTACTAAAAAAAAAAAAAAAAAAAGTTAATATACAGGGTGTATCAAAAATACTTTTACAAATTTTGGGGGTAGGTTGCTCACACCAAAACAAATACAAAAGTCCATATAAACATATTCAAAAATCCTTCATTTTTGAGTTAAGTTCAAAGAAAGTTTACATTTGAGTTTCCTCTTTCATTCTCTATATTGTTTCTTGAAGGATTTACATTACGTCGTAAAACAGCCATCTCTAATATATTCAATATTCGAGTCAGGAATAACAAGTCTGAAAAGAAATTCACAAATATTAGTATACCTCATACTGAAAGAAAGTGATTATATAAATTATGTGTGTGTGTATAGATAAATAGATAGATAGGAGACATAAACACAAGTATTATTGCTTGTGATAAATTTTTCAATGCATTTACCTTATAAATAGCCTAGGTGTCAAAAACAACACCTCGGTCATTCAAGGTAAAACCTCAAATATCAGCTATTCCACTGAATATTTTTTAAAGAATTAAGTCTGTTAAGCATCTTTGCTAAAATTCAATAATTGTCCCTAAGCCTCAGCATCGAACCAAAACTAGTTATTCCATAGTAATTTGCTGAAAATTTGAAGGTGTCGAAAACGACACCTTGGCCATCCTAGTGTTAAAAGAAATTCTTAGTAATAGTAGTAGTATTACTATTATTGAATTGACAAAATTTTCGCCAATGGGACTGAACCACAAAAGACTTCATCAGTTACTTGTTAATCTGGATAACTCTCAGGCAATAAGAACAACACAACATATCCCTAGACAAGATCAGAAAAAGAAAAATCTCTTTTTGTACATTAAAATAAATGGTTCAGTTCCAAATACCCTGAAGATTAACAACAGGAACCTGATGAAGGCTGGAGGGTATAATAGCCGAAACGTTGTGATAATCAACCTTCAGAGATTTTGACCTGAACCCATTATTTAATCTTCAGAGGTAGGTGGGTGTTATTCTACTGACCCTTTCTAGGGATATCTTTTTACATAGTTGTTATTTAATAATGATAGTATTGTTTTTGTTTTTTTTTATAAGGAAACATTTGGCATTCATTGACCAAGCAGTCAGTACTGGTCATGGTTGAAATTTATAAAATCTTTGTCTTAAAACAATTTTTCAAGAAAATAGATTTCTCAAGTCCAGTAGCTGTTATTGCTCTTTCCAGTATTGATGGCATAGTTCCTTCATTGCCTTTGATTTGAAGTAGGGTGAAACATCAGCCTCTTGATCATGTCATTATTTTCTCCGAGTTACATATGATATCTATCTTAGTTGTTGCGGCTGTTGAAAATCCTCTTGATGTCGTTTCTGTCATTTAATACAGTTATTTGTTTGCGATTCTGTAGCACCATTCCACAAGGTTTGAAGTGCAGTCTTTGTCAAGACCCACAGGCTTCGCTCAGTCAAAGCCATTTTTAAGCATTGTTCTTAGAAAGTGGTTGTTGACAGTTTAGATATTTCTAAATAGGTCTGGTACTATGCTTGACACCCATATGAAAATACTGATCTGACAAGGCTATTTAAGAACATGAGTCGATTTTCAGGTTAATGTTTTAGTTTTGTAGCAATTGGTGGTATTGGGTGAAACTACCTCTAGCACAGTCTATTCTATGTTCAATTTCCTATACTAGATTTCTTATAACTGATCCATACACCAAGGTATATGAAGTGTTTTAGTATTCATTAAATCCACCTCCTAAATTTTTAGTGTCCTGGGTAAGAGGTTAAAATACATCCAGCAGCAAGGCCTCTGATCAGGAGGTTTTGAGGAGCATGGAACCACCTCTTAATTGCTGGTGTTCCCAGGTCCACCCTGACCCAGCACCTGTTAGGGTCCCAGCTATGGGCAAATTGATGTTGATATGCCATAAAACAAAATAAACCAAACCAATCTAAACCAAAGAATACATACTTTATTCATACGAATCTATCCTAAAAATGTTGTCGGCATTAAATAACCGATTGAGGTTGATATGCCATTAAACAAAATAAACCAAACCAAACCTAAATTTTTATGATGGATTCAGTGCATGTGCCTTCACTGCTTTCATTCCAATTCCAGATTGTACTTTCTGCTTTAGAAAAGTTTATTTTAAGTTCTTTTTCATAGAACTCTTAGTAGCGGTCTATATCCCTGAGATGAGGTATTATGATTACTTGTATTATTTACATTATTGTTCACTCCGCCCTTCTTCAGGTGATTGGAATTTCAAACCGAACCTTTTATTTCGTCCACCAGGGTAGATTGTTCTAGTTCCACGTGACATGCCTCTTCCGGATGTCTGTTATTCCCCTTTAACTCAACTCTTCAAGTTCACCACTGCTGTGGCCTGGTATTGAACTCACAACTCTTTGGGTCTAGTCACAGGATCTAATTGTCTTTAACCACTGGGCCATGTGTCCTTGAGAGTTAAAGGGAAATAACTGAGGCATCCAGAAGAGGCATGGCATGTGGAACTAGAACAGGTGGACGAA